CACTCTCATTGATACTTTACCTTTTCCTTTGTTCACAGCTCGGTATCAAAACCTCATCCACACTGGTTCATCCTTATGTTGGAAACTGTGCAGCAAAGTCTAGCATTCATTTCCAATACCCTTGGCTTCTCTGCACCATTTCATTCCATGTTCATCCATGGGCTTTGGCCTGCTTATCTCCCTTGTCCATCTGTTTGGACAGCAGTATGCCTGCTTGTGGGTGGTTAGATCCTTGGCATGGGACAGAATCTCCAAACAATGCAAGAGGTTTACATGGGCAAGCTGCACTGCAAAGCCAAAGACATTTGTCTTGTGGGGAGGGTCTTCTCTCTGAAAGTCAAGGTGATGCATGCTCCCTTTACACTTGATTATACCTGTAGAAATGTGGATGCTCACACCAAAAGAAGATCAAAATCTCAAAGGGAAAATAAAAAATGGTCACAAAGCACTCATTTGACAAAGGTAACTGATAGCCCTTCCGGGCTAGGCAGTGGTGGGTAAGTGTTAGGGATTTGTGACCTGCAAAACCAAGGAAGAGCAATGTGTAAAGTATGGCATATATAAACACTATGGGGGCACAGAGAAGGCATGAGAATGCTTGACAGACCTGAAGATCCCCTGGGAAAATTCAGTACATGTCCCCAGGACACAGTGCCAGGGGTTTTCTGCACATTGTGTTATATTAAGCAACAGAGGAGAAAAATGAACCACAACAGAGAGAGAACAGCTAAACCCAGAACCCAGGATGTAGCCATGCCAATCAGTGGCAAGCAAGCAAATGGGCAGGCGTTCATGAGGGCTGTGCCAAGGAGATGCAGCCTCTTTCATTTAAGATAAAAATAAACATTTTCATTCTAGTTATTTAGGATAAAAGGAATGTGGCAACATGGGGCCTGAGGAAGGGTGCAGTGTGCTCTAAGTAGGTATGCCTCCTTCCAAGAATAGCGCCAATACCTCCAAACATTCCCAGGTAAGTTTACACACACACACACACACACACACACACCCAACATGGCAAAGCACCATTGTCTGCTATGGGGCAGTGTTTCACAGACTTCTAAGAAGAGAACGAGCCAATTATTACAGCATGTATAACTTTGGCAATAGTATTTGTTATTTCAATGGCTTTCTTGAATGAGCCAGGGAACTTTGGAACGTGAATCCTCTGTACGAAAACTCACTGTTCTTTTAAAAAGACTAGAACAGCAAGGCCCTACGAATTCCAAAATGATTTAACCTTCCTAAACGGGAGACATGGGTGTGATAAGGAAGTAAATGAACAAAGAAACAAAGAAAATGATAAGTAAAAAAAATCATAAAGGAGTGGGGAAAGAAAAGAATTTTGTAATGAAGACTAGAGAAACAGAAGCTGGAATACAGAGAAAATAAAGTCCTCACTCTCCTGATGCTTTTATTTTTCAAAGGAAAACAGACAACAATCATAGTAAACAAGTAAATTAACAAATGAGCTCTATCATTTTCAGACAGTGATAAAATAGGGGTATGGAGAGGCAGTCTTAGGCAGATGGACAGGGAATCCCTGTCTATGAGGCTGCATGAACTGACACCTGAATGATGAGAAGACAGCCGTGCAAATGTCTGGGGAAAGAGCAGAACAGGCAGAAGGAGGAGGCAGTGTAAAGGCCCTAAGGCAGGAAAAGGTTTCCTAGGTTCAGAGAACAGCAAAGCCGATGAGGCTGGAACACAATGAACAAGGGAAACGTGGTAAAAGACAAGGTTGTAAAAAGGCAGGCAGGGGCCAGATCACATAGGGCGTGGCAGGCTACAGGGAGAAGCTCAGATTTTACTACAAGTAAATGGGAAGGTGGAAGAGGACTTGCGGTGAGGGAGCAATGTGATATGATACACATTTTTGAAAGCTTAGGCTGTCCATTAAGTGAAAAATAAACTGTAGTAGGGACAAGAGTAGAAACAAAAGAGATCTGTTAAAAATGTATTACAATAATACAAAAAGTAAAAGATGGTGGAATGTAGTGAGAAATGGTAAGCTTTAGAATACATCCTGAAGAAATAATTTGTATCCCTAACCACCATGCCAAATTTTTCACTTATTACACATTACCTTATATTCTTCAATATGTCTTTATTTGTCTTATCTCCTTAGATTGTGGTGATTGTAACTTATTTATAGAATTTTACATAGACCTATTGATTCGTTTAGTAAACATTTATGAGCACTTATTATATTTCAGGTGCAATAGTAGTTTTTTTTTTGAATATTTGTTGCATTTCATAGTTGTATTTCTTCTTGTCGCATATATTTTATTTTGACACAAATGCGACTTGCTTTGCTTGTTTTCTTATGTTTAAGTCTTTAAGCCATTTTGAGCTTACCTTTGTGTAAGGTGTGAGGGAGAGTTCCAACTGCATTGGTTCACATGCAGTTGTCCAGATTTCCCAACACCACTTGCTGAAGAGACTGTCGTTTCTCCATTGTATATTCTTGTCTCCTTTGTCAAAGACTGATTGACCGTAGGTGTGTGGGTTTATTTGTGGACTCTCCATTCTGTTCCATTGATCCATATGTCTGTTTTTGTGCCAATACTACACCATTTTGATTACTGTAGTTTTGTAGTGTTGTCTGAAGTCTGGGAAGGTTTCAACTCCAGCTTTGTTCTTTTTCTTCAGTATTGCTTTACAATTCTGGGTCTTTTGTGATTCCATATGAATTTTAGGATTATTTGTTCTATTTCTGTGAAAAATATCCTGGGTAATTTGATTAGGGATCACATTAAATCTGCAGATTGCTTTAGGTAGTATGGCCATTTAAACAATATTAATTCTTCCAATCCAAGAGCATGGGATAGAGTTCCATTTTTTAAAATCATCTTCAATTTCCTTTATCAATGTTTTATTGTTCTCAGTGTTTCTCAGTCTTTCACCTCCTTGGTCAGCTTTATTTCTAAGTATTTTTTGATGCAATTTTAAGTTTTTTTTAGACTTTCCTTTTCTGATATTTCATTGTTATAGAAATGCCACTCATTTCTGTATGTTTATCTTGTATCCTGCTACCTTGCTGAATTTATCAGCTCTAGTAACTTTTGTGTGGAGCCTTTAGGGTTTTCTATATATAGTATCATATCTTCTGCATATAGTGACAATTTTACTTCTTCCCTTCCTTTTTGGATCTCTGCTTGTTTTCTATATCCAGTATTTTCCTTTTGAATAGCTTTCTTTCTCTCCCTCTCTCCCATTTTGTATATGTTCTCTTGGCTCTTTTCTTTCCTTTTTCAAATGTTCCTTATTTCACACAGTAGTTCTTAAGTAGACAAGAATTACTTTTTCACAAAAAACATAATTTAATATAACAATCTTGTAAGTAGCTCATGTAGCTATTATTAATGCCTTTTTACAGGTGAGCAAAGTGAGGCTTAGAGAGGTTAAATTGTTCACCCAAGGTCAAAGAGCTGGGGAGAAAGAAACTGAGAGAAGAGTCAAGGTTCCCTGATTCCTAAATCAATGCCTTTCTATCACACTACCCAGTATCCTCTGTCTTCCCCTTCTGAGCCCACCTGCACTGTCCCCTAGATAGCAGGTGATTATGCAAAGTAGATGATCAATAACTCTGTGATGGTGAGGATAACAGTGCTCTCTCTCTGCATTCAGTGTATCTATTTGTATAATTCATATATTTCTCAAAATGTACCTTGGACTTAGCCCATGTCGATTTTACCGTAAAAGAAAAGTTAGTCATAAAAGACTAGGTTTCAATTTTTTGCGTGTGGACAGGTTAGTCATGAGTCAATTCAAGAAATATTTCATTGGGCACCTCCCTTGTGCCATAAATGAGTGGAAGAATGAATAACCCTACATAGTATTATATAAATGTAAGCCATTATCACAATCTACTTGGAGAAATAGGAGAGAAAAAATAAAATGTAAGACCATGAAATAACATGTAATAAGTGAAGCAACCTGGCATAGTGATTAAGAATACAACAGGCGTGCCCTTTCCAAGTTCTGGGGATATGGGGGGTAAACGAGACCGAATGGTTCCTGCTGTCATGAAGCTTCTGCTTTGGCCTCTTTTCATAACTGCTATTCTTGCCTTAACAGTCTCGTAAACGTCCTAAGGTTCTCCATAGTTAATAACAATCGCTAACACTCACTAGATGCCTGCTGAAAGTAATTTATTTGATCCTCTCAACAACCCTACAAAATAGGTAGCATTGTTATCAACTCCAGTTATCAGATAAGAAAACTGCGAACACCATACAGCTAGTAAGTGGCAGAGTTAGCTTTGACTCCACACAGTGGGGCTTCAGCGTTCACAGGCCTAGCCCCTGTGCTGGGAGAGATCCAGGTTTTGTGGGGGATGAGGTTTATAGAATTCTAGGGGCTCTCTCTGAGTTAAAAAAAAAAAAAGAATATGACACTACAAATACAAAATTAGATGCAGGGCCTTGGAAGGGGTCCACGCAAGACTAACGCTTTATTAGCTTCACAGTAAATCTGTCTTTAGCTTCAAGGTAAACCCATCTCTTCCACTATGCAATACCTTAAGTGTGAGCTCTGTTATAAAAACGATGACTGTCCCAACCCAAATACCTAGAAGGTGGTTAGGTAAAAGGAGCAAGAAAACAAGCCACCCATCATTTCCAAATGTGAAACTATAAGTGAGATTTTTCTAGTGCTTCATGTCAAGTCAGGAAGCATTCATAAAGCACCTACTGTGTACCAAGCATTGTGCTTCCCTGCAGTGTATACAAAGGTGAGCTTAAAGGCAGAAATAGATGATGACAGAGAACAGAGAGAGAGACAAATCTGCTCTCAAGGCCTCAGTTTACGTGCCCAGCACTGTCTGTGCATTCAACATGCATCCAAAATTCATTCCTTTTGCATTAAAAGAGACCAATATGACAGCAGTATCTGCCTTTGAAAAACTTAAATAATAATAAACACCAAATGCTTACTCTTTAAGCAACTGTCATTGCTGTAAGCAGAATGCAGCTGATGAGGTAGGTATGAGTATCACCATCATTTCTATTTTACAGATGGAGACCCTGACCAGAGAAAGGCAAAGCTTGGTTCTAAATCTAGAAACGCTGATTCCTGAGCCACACCCTAAATCACTCTGCTACTCGTCTTCTCCATTTCTCTGGAAATGTTAAGACTGGAAACATGAACAGTTCCAGATCTAAAGCTTCTAAATTCCTCCCAATCACCAACTTTTCCATGACGCCTTCCCTCCCCACCCCAAGTGGGCAGGTCCCTTACCACAGACACAGCCTTCCATATTCACCTGTCTCTTAGCTGGATTAATGATTCACTTGTTGCCTCCTTTCTTACACCATGAGTTTCTTGAAGACAAGTGTCTTCAGCAACTAGCAAGATTGGACAAATATTGAGGAATCAATGAATAAATGAGCAATAGATGTCAGAGTATGGTCAGGCGGTCTATTGATTCTGTGGTAAACAGTTTATCTGCCGTAAGTTTTTAATGGGATTTGAGTAGAAAGTGAGATTTAGAGAAGTAGAGGGAGAAAGAAAAGGACACATTTCAGGCAGGGGTAACAGCCTGGGCAAAAGAGCAGCAGTAGGAATGATCATGGCATGACAGTTAGCTCCCTGTTGCTTCAGTAATAAATTACCACAAATCTACAGGTTTAAAACAACACAAATGTATTCTCTTATGGTTCTGGTG